ACGTGAGCTCACTCAGACATTATCCAGAGATTTTACTAGGTAGCTGGAAGGAAAGGGGTCCAGGTTATGTCCAGACCAACTGACTCAGACATTTGCGTTCTCACATACAGCGCCTCAGCAAGATTTCAGGAAAATGTCCAGACATATCAACGAGCAATCTGTAGTCTCCAGTGAAGCTTGCATGTCTGTGGGAGGAATGAAATATATGTATTGTGATGTGACCGAAACATTTATAGAAATTTGTTCGTTTTAGTGTCCTGAGTTCTACACTTGGACATTTCCAGCCAGGTGCAACAGAAGGTTAACAGCACTTCCCCTTTCCTCTTCCTCCAATTCTATCACCTCTCCCTCTGATGTTTGCCAATTGATTTATGTGATAAGGTAAGCGTTAGAGAAGAAGAAAACACACACCACTCTAATTTAGATCGACACGGGCTGTCCAGCTGACAGCTGTTAGGGAACTGTGACTGTGTGAAAACAGGCGGCGCTGGATCATTTGACCAACGGAACAGTTGATTCAAATGTTTGTTCGTCCTCGATTGTTCATCGTTTCAGTTGGAAGATTTTAATCTCCTCTGCGGAAATAATTGGGAGCCAGTGAGGGAGTTAATTGTGTTTTCCACTGATGAGTCATCAGGAAGAGTTGGTGAACCCCGCTGACCACACACACCCACACACACCCACCCACACACACATACACACACACACACACACACACACAGAGATGGACACTGGCAAACATCATGCATAGCCTATATAGCAACACACAAAAAGGCACAGCTTACACAGTTGAACAGGAAATGCCTTATATTCACACCTGACCTGACCACACATGCTATACATAAACGCTCGTGGAAACCACACATACTTTTCTCTCTCTGTCTCTCTCTCTCTCTCAATCATTCTCATTTTCAACCTCTCTCCCCCTCGCTTGCTGCTCTCTTTCGCTGCTCTGTCAAAAGACTGAGAGGCCAATTAGTAAAGCTCTCACGGCCATTATTACCACGCTGGGAACTGGAGAGAGAAGAAATCCCCCTCTCTCCTCTTCCAAAAGAAGGATTTCTCCCTCATTGTCGCCGGGTTGAGGGCGAAGGATGTGGGGTGTATTCTGAGCACTGCTGATGTGGTCATTCTGGCTCGCAAACAATGCTATGCTGTCTAAAGAGGGGTAATGGAGGGAAGTAACGGAGATAGTGTTTACCCTGTGTTTGTGTGTGTTAACATGTGACACACACATACACACACACACACACACACACTCACAGTGAGGTGACATCATGGCATTGCTCTGAAGGCCACGCTGGCTTCCAGATGAAGGAGGAAGCGTTGTGTTAACTCCAAATCAGGACGTTGACGGACTCTTTGTGTGATTATAGCAGGAAAGACAGAGTGGAACAGAGAGGGAGGTTGTTCCTGTGTGAGTGCACCTCAGTTACTATGAAGGTAACACCCCCCCCCCTACAGCATTTACTTTAAAACATAATCACACTTTGCTGGAATAATAACGATAATTGAATATTCTGTTAGCAACTAATGTAATCATCATAATTGAAATGCCTTGTTCAGAATAGGGTCAACAGTCAGATTATTGCTGTCAATATAAACAGAGTCAGTTTGTTCTATCTGCTCGGCCCCAAATGCTCATTAACATAGCTTTGGGTTTCCTCTGTGTCTGCTCAATGCATAATAAGTTCATCATGTCATTTTTATAAAGTGATATATCATCAGTGTTGTGTTTATCCCATTAGCACAGGTTCAACAATAAATTAATCTGTGTCTATGATATTTAATTGTATTATCGTGTATATCAGTTATGGTCATAAATTAGATAGCTCTTAAAGTTCAAAGTACAATATTACACAACAATATGTGTGTCTACATAAAGGTCTTTTTGAAATGGATTCTGAGAAATCATTGTGACGGTATCAAACTTCAGTTTAACTCGAGATGTTATTGTTTGGCCTCTTGATGAGATTAGAGTTCACCTTGAAATATGGATTTGACATGTGAACCTGATAAACTGTATAAACAGATGCAGATATGTGCTAGCCTGCACAATACCGGGGCAAAGGCAAAGCCAAATGTTATTTACCTCCGCAAAGGAAATGATGTATTCATCAGTGTTTAAGTTTGTGAATCAGCAGGATTACAGAAAAACAACTGAACTGACACCCATGACATTTTTTGGAGGGATAGGATGTGGCCAAATGAAGAATACACACAGGAGGTCTGCCACAAAAACAATTCAATATATGGTGCAAGTGTATTCCAAGTGACGGGTACACAAGCACACAACTGCAGCTGAAACGGAGGCCTGACTGTCTGTGTGGATGGTAAAAACTTTAGGGATGATAGTCATGTACATGAAGTTTAAGATGTGAGAGCATTGCTGCAAGGCAACGCTTTATTGATGTTACTGTCAGCATAATCCAGCATGTTAGCAGGTGAGAGACTTAACACAGGAAATGCATTGAGCTCTTCAAATGATGAGGAAGTGATATTTTTTACAAGTTGAGATCTGATAAAATCGCCTCACACTGACAAACAGACCTTTCTGACTTCAGTCTTTCATTTTCTCTGTGATAGATTTTTACCATTTACATGTTTAATGTTTAATGGGCTTTCATAAAAAGTTTCTTTCTTTCTCTTTTCTGTTGAGAAGCTGAAGACAACACTGGCCATGTTGTTGAGAGGAGCTGAATGTGTGTTCATNATATGTTGCAAACGTGATTGACCACAAGTCTACAAATGCATTTTTATTTCCACTGTCAGGTAAACTGGCCTGTTAGTGGAGCTCTAAAATAAAAACATCTCTATAAACAAAGACTTTGCCTAAACTACTGCAGACAACAAACACTCAGCGAGCATGCTGGGCCAGTAGGTGCATGGCAAAAACGTCTACGATCAACAATCAACAATCCACCAAATACCAAGAAGAATACTGTGTTCCAGGTAAAATTGGACAAGACAGGCTCCGGTCAATGTTTGAGATGTGGAGCAGTGACGCTAAATGTATCTGCACACTTGTAATTGGACCACAAAGTGCTAACCAAACTACTGAAGCTGGTGAATAGTATAGTAAGTATGCTCATTACACAAAGTAACAGCAAAAAACAAACACAAAGAACATTAAAACCTTTTAATTTCCAAAATATAAATATGAAAAACAATAAAAACGTCAAAGAAGAAACGCCATAAATCATCTGTGTTTGTAAATTAGCATCTTACACAAAAACAACTGAACAACCATGACATTTTGTGGAGGGTTGGGACGTGGCCTAAGGAAGAAGACACAACGGGAAGTTTGCCACAAAATGTATTAAATATAATTTGTTTATTCTGAGTGACAGGTGGACAAGCACACAACTGCAGCTGAAACTGAGGTCTGACTGTCTGCAGGGATGGTTAAAACTTAAGGGTTGATAGTGTAAGCACATGGAAAAAAGTGCTGCAAATTGAACGACACAAAGTTATACAATGCAGCAATGTGGCCAAACATCAATTTAGATATCCGTTGTTATAATAATAAGAGAAACGCAAAAATGGTTTGGTTCATTCTGAAAATGTGGTGGGACAAAGTACGATATGATGAGCTGCCACAGTCTGGATAATGAACTGGAAACATTGCTCTGACATGGAAACTTATTAGCCTTGGTGGAGGTATGGACTGTCAGAGCAACATTCTAGTTTCAAATTAGTTTGATGTTAGCAACAGCAAAGAAACTTGTTAAAAAGCTGTGGGAGGTGAACTCTTGATTTATTACTGTCCATGATTATTAAAGGTCCAGTTTGTAAGATTAAGGTGAAAGGGAACTATTGGCAGATATCTTATTTAGAATAATCCTCATGATGTTTTCACTAGTTCGTTTCATCTAAATTTTATGAATTGTAGTTTTCTTTACCCCAGAAAATACTCTTTA